AGACTTGTGTCAAATGCACCAGGAACATATTTCACTGGGTAGACTAACTCTAACTGTTAATTAACCTCTAGGAGAGGTGCCTGCCTTCAGCTTCCAGCTATTTATTTCTGTTATTTCTTCCTTTATTCCATATATCACTTCTTCCCCCATAAAAGTTAGAACTATACTTTAATAAAGAGTATTTTTTACACATTAAAAAGACCAGTCTTCTTAAGCAACCACTTCTCTATCTTCTTTTTGATAAACTACATTAACTGAGCCCTGATGGTGCCTTTATAAGGACTTCACCTCCAACCTCCAATATTAACTCTTCTCTGTTCCCTTTCCAAATTCTCAACTTTTCCTTAAAGACGTTCAGACTTAAAAACATGGACACAAAAGTTGTACATAGTACTGTAGCATCAGTCTCATCAATTTTGTACTGGTAGTCAAAGTGACCTCTTCACGTCCTTTTGTACATTAAAGTGAAACATAAATCGTCTCAGCCATGCTGTCTTAAAACACTTTTTCACCAGGATTAGTAGGTAACTTTCAAAGGCAGTGTTTTCCAGGATATTACTCCCCATTACATAGATTTGTCCAGCATTTGGCTTAATTAAAATGCACTTTATTTAGAATAGATTCAGCTTTCCAAGTGATCTAACTCACTTTTTAGGACTGGTCTGACTCATTACCATTCTACCAATCCCTTGCAGCAGTCACTTTTTTTTTTTTTTCATAAGCAAGGTTATATTTACTTCTGTATCACTGATTAAAATAATCAAAAGGCAGAGTTGAAACCCAGTGAAAATTCACTGAAAGCTCTTCAGTTTGATGTTTTGCTAGTGATGACTGCTTTTTGTGAGCTACAATTTCTTAATTAAATTATCTTTCAGATGTGCTTTATAAGTACTGTATATTGTTTCTCTCTTAAATCCTAATAGGAACAACGTAACATTTTGCCCAATATCCTTCAAAATGGCTAACACCAGCTGCTTCAGAGAAAGGTTTAAGCAGCCATAAAAATTATTTATACATCAACCTGCTTCCACTCCAACACTTTCAGTGGCTAACTTACCCAAGAAGTTCAAAGACATATAAACTTTAATAGCACTTCTGTTACTCTAGCTATTCACATTATATACACACTAATAACCACTCTTTGGCTTTTTTAAACATATTACCACAATCTTAGTCTCCATAAATTTTTATGGCAATGAATTTCAAATGTTATGTATCACTATGTGAAAAAGACAATTTTATCCATTTTGAATTTCCTACAGTTTAGTTTCACTATATCTCAGGTTCCAACTGTATTTTACTGCCAGAAGAGATTAGATCCAAAATTGGTATCACCCAAACATTTTTAAGACGTAGAAAACTACAAAATTAATTAATTTGGCTCTTCAGCAAGATATCCGAATATCTTAATTCTGCAGTATTGGTCCCTTAATGATCCAATGAGCCTACTCTCAACCTATTGCCTGCTTTTGCAAATGCTCAGAATATTTTGTTATTCATCCATGGTTAGCTATTCACCCCTTAGACTTGCTCTTAGCCCTCCTGATTATTTTTGTACATATACTGCCTGCTGTAGTTTATGATAATTTTATTGGACTCCATAGAGTTGGTTTCTCCATTTTCTCAAGGCTATGTGGCTCAAATGATCTTGTCATGCAGTTATTGCAAGCTTAGTCTAACCTTTTTTCTGCATGCTCTGTATACATCTACAAAACAATAACCATCCATCGTCTGCCCCAGCTGTGTAGAAATTAATTATGCATGTCTGTATTATAATATATGCATGTATTATGCCTGCACACATAGGCATTCCCTGACTTAAAAATAAATTGTTAACTGTTCTCGCCAAAAGGTGAGTTTTATTCCAAGGTTTTTTCATTAGAATAAAACTAAAAATTATGAGTAAAACTTCCACAAAGGAAACTTAAACCACTAGAAATTACACAGTGTGCTTTGTATCTTTAAAGTTACCAATATTAAAATTGTTACAACTAATTTAATTAATGGACTGCTACTTACCTCTAATATTTGCAATTAGAAAGGGTCAAATAATTCTGAGTTTATTTTACACTATTGTGGTGCATTGACTCTGGCCAGCAGCTAATCACCACACAGATGCTCTCTTACACTCCCCCTCCTCCAGCAGGATGGAGGAGAACATAGGAAGAGAGAAAGCGAGAAAACTTGGGGGTCAAGATAAAGACAGTTTAAGAAGTGAAGGAAAAAGAAAAGAAAAAAAAAAAAACAAAACACAAAAAAAACAAGCAATGCAAAAGCAATCACTCACCACCTCCCACAAGTAGACTGGTGCTCAGCCAGTCTGGTAGCAATGGCTACCTCCCCAAAAAACTCTCCCCTCAGTTTTTACTGCTGAGCATAACACTATATGTCATTGAATAACTCTCTGGTCAATTTGGCTCAACTGTCCAGGTCGTCCCCTCCCAGCTTCTTGCTCACCCCTCAAGTCTACTCACCGCAGGGAGACGGGACAGAATGGGAAGAAGGGAAAGCCTTGACACCGGCAAGTACTGCTCAGCAATAGCCAAAACACTGCTGTATTATCAACACCATTTTAGTCACAAATCCAAAACATAGCACCATAAGGGCTGCTATGAAGAAAATGAACTCCATTCCAGCCAGACCCAGTATAATAAGACACTGTAAAACATAACTAGAAATTATCAAAGCTCCAACTTCAGTGAGATACTGTCATATTTTGCTGAAGTGATGTCTCTTGCCTGGTTTTGGCATTTGTCATCAGCCTAAATCATGTACTGATTTTCTGCAGTTTCTTTTAAGAAAGGACATACACACCACTCCACTATACTGGTCTGGAAGACAAGAGACAACATTCTGATTTCTGCACAATCCTGACACCTCAAGGGCTCAGTACTAGTAAAGGATAGCCAATACCGCTGCTTGCGCTCAGATCCATGCTTTGTCAAAGCAGGTCTCTAATCCAAATTCTTTTACAAATCAAATAGCAGCATCCTGTGATCTTCTCAATAACCCAGCTGTTTGCTCTAGGGGGTTTTGAAAATTCATTAGACTACTTTGACAACAGAAAGTTTGGCTGCCTTTGAATCTGCTTTCAAAGACAAAATTATACAGGTCAAGCTATTGCCCATGGAGTATTCTGGTTAGCTTTGACAATGATGGATACCTTTCATGACTATTTCCCAGATTCTTTATGCCTACACTTCACAACTGTCCTTAATGATGAATGACAGTCATCTACAATGAATGACAATTTTCCAGTACTCCCATCCCCAAAGAAATGGCATTATCGTCACATTTTCTTGCTATAATTTATCAGACTGAAAAACACAGAGTCTCTGATTACTAGATTCTTTATTAATGTAGTAACTTGAACAAATACTAAGCTATGTGTTTTGAAATGTGGATGGTAAAAGATATCAAGTCGTTAGGTACAGTATACTCCGTTTTCATTACTTTAGGAACTGTAAATCTTACTCTTTAATGAAAATGCAATGTAGAGAAGATAGATTGTTTTGATTTTAAATTGGTTCAGATATCCTAGCTGAGCCTTGAAGAAATACACAACTGATTGTTATAAAATAAAGCGATATTCAAAGCTGTATTTTGAATAAAAGTCTTGTTCTCACCACTCACAGGAGTGGATATTTTATTTCCTTAGTGAGGGTTTTTAGCTATATAGTTACATCTTCATTGATTCAACAGGGACTGAAATAGTCCAGCAAAAGAGACCCTCTGGAAAAAATCATCCAGTCAAGTTTGCACTTTGTGAAAAAAGGTCTCATCTTAGGCCACAGTTCTTGGCACTGATTACTCATTACTGGCAGATCCAATTGGATTTAGCTTAACAAATAACACAAGCTTAGTTCAAAATTATTGTTTCCATTACTGTAACAATGAAGGTCCCCAGTCACAGACCAGGACCTCTCTGTGCCTGTGTTCTATGGAAACAAAACAAAAAGGACGGAACACATAGAACACGTTTGACATCTAACCGAAGACAACTGTAATCGAGATATAAATCATCAAATAGAAAGAAACATGGTACAGCAGAAGCATGAGAATCCCAGGAACAATGAGAAAATATTGATGAGCTTGGTGGGTACTGTCATTGGAAAACTTGAGTTTTGCATTTTACAAGGTGTCACATTAGTGACTTCTAAGAAGAGTTTTTAAGGAGAGCAAGCTTCCTAAGGTTTCAGAAATGTTAACAAGGACCTCCTCCCAGGCTTGCAGGGCAGGAAAATAAAAAGCACAAAGGAACTTGTTTTAAAACAAACAAACAAACAAACATGTAAGGGAACCCGAAATAACATGCCACCTGAGAGGACAAATGATCTTCTTGGGGGGGGGGGGGGGGGGCGGGGTTTTTTTTTTTTTTTTTTTTTTGGGT